GTACTGACAGGAGTGAATGCAACAGACCGCCCAAAAAATATTAAAATCACCGAAAAGAACACGTGGTTCTGATAAAAATTGTGAACAGGATGTAGTTATATACCTCAGACATGGGCACGTTTTTTGAGAGAATGATACCGAGGGGCAACTGACAAATTTATCCTTCCCTTTGTCAATTTCCACTGCCTCGAGTATTTCTCTCATGCGTTCATTACGCACAACCTCCGTACTTGTTAACTTACACAATTTTCTAGCGGCTGAAACTACGTTAGAAGACGACATAATAATTGGGGTGTGACTTCCCAAAACCACGGTATTATTATAAGACACGCCGTAATCAACTCTCGAGGGCTCCGAAAGTTTCGACCATCTGGGGCTCCTTAACGGGCACCTAAATGTAAGCACACGGGCCTCAAGAATTTTCACCTCCTCCATTAAAAATACTGCCAGGATTCAATCTCGCAACATGCGGATCAGCAGTCAAGCACCATAAGCACTAGACCACAACGGCTGGTGCCATAAGATGACAGCTACGCTCCATGCAGCATATGTCTTCACACAACTATAAATGTTAGTCGCCAGGGGAAGGAGGAGTTTATAGACAGCGACTTCTATGGCTTACTTTGCACTGAGACATTCAATTTTTCGTAGAAACCTAGAAATTGTATGGTGACCATGTCATGGCCCCTTCATAGTGCTGAAACCCCAATGAGATGGCACACTCCTAGCTCGCGAGCTTACAATCCACGCAGACCCAATGAGTGACCATGCACGACCCACCCGCCATGCCACTAGAGTTACCAAATCTTCAATGAAGAAAGTCAAGACGACGACGGGGGGGGGGGGGGGGGGGGGAATTCATTTTACTTGAATATTTTTTATTGCATTATGTGTAAGACTACTACATTGTCCCCAACACTTCCTCATGCTATAGAATGTACTCGTGTGATGGGGTTCTTCGGAATATGCGGTAAATAAATTCCGCCGTGTCATTGACTACAACATTCATACGAAAGACAGCGAGGCTGTATTCTGTTTTTCCCACTTTATGAAAACAACCCACGAACATAAAATGCACAACCCACACTAATAGAAGTAAAACATCTTAATAATATAAATATAATAAAAAAATAAAACAGAACTCTAAGCAGCCGCAAAAACGAGGGTAGCCCAAACTTAACCAAACAGTCTCACCGGTAAGTGCTATACTACTGAGGTGTCGAGGTCATCCACAGAGAGCAGACACAAGCATGAGGATGCCATCGGAGGAGGAACTCAGCGAGGAGGAGGGTGACACTCAGGTGTATACACCGATGGAGCAGGTATGTGCCGAAGACAGGGCCAACAAAGTCGGGCAGTCTTCTCCTCGGACTTGCGGCGCAGGGGCTACAGCCAAGCCCTCGGGTCAACGCCCGACAGTGGACCTGATGACAGATGGCTTCCCGCTGGCTCTGTGGACCATCGAAGCGTGAGGTCAAGCATGAAGCCGGCCGCTCTGACTCTTGACCTCTGCCAAGCACTCGGGGCACACCACAACCGTGACACTGGCGAACTGCCTCCGCCCTCCTTATGCCCGAATGAACCAAGAGCACCTTTGCCAACTGCGGTTTCACTCCTTGGGTCGACTGCTTTCCATTGGGACTCTCTGGTTGCAGAGTTGACAAATCAATGGCCCCCGAAATCTCCATGGTCACTCCCGATTTGGCCACTGTCCTTTTGTGTTGTTGATGTAGTGTGCTAGTGCCGATGTTCCTCGTCGTCGTCTTCACCCCGTTTCTGTTTGCCCGTGCACTTCTTGTCTTCCGACTTTAGTGTCGTGCACTTTTCCGAGGCACTCACTTAACACGCGCACTGCACTCATCACAACTCCTAAAGGTTGTGCCACTTCACGCACAAAATCTGCTGGAGCCCCTCGCAAGCCACCACAACATTGCTCCATGCGTGCGATTCATGTGATGTTTCGTACGCGCTGTTGGGCGTGTGTAGGATCTGATGAAAGAGCTAACTGGATAGTCTGGAATAAATATGAGACATAGTCATCTGTCTCAACAGGGTTAGTGCGGGACTCGAGACACTGTATGGAACATTGGGACAGTCCCACAAAATCAGGGACGGTTGGTAACCCTACCTCTCGTGATATCACATACCACCTGGGAAGAAGGCGGAATTTCGCCACTCCACCCATCTAACTAAACAGGGCACAGTCAATCGCACTCTGCCAGCTACATACACGCACCTACATAGGGCCCACAGTCATGAACAGACAGCACCTCCAGGTGGTGCTGGCACAGATTCAACCCTGACATACTCCCCTCATGCCCTTTGTGCGCACATGAATTCCATAACTTTGAACACATGCACTGACTATGCCCAGGCAATGGTCTGTCAGAGCCGAAATCTCAAGAGGCCTGGAGTAAGGCCATTACTCACAAGCTCCAAGTATGAACCAACTCGGGGCAGTCCAGAGGCCCTGGGGCATCACCGAGACTCAGACTTCTGGCTCCATCCTTGCTGGAGCCCCCATAATAGGGTGGTCCTCACAGCCTTCCATTACTATTGATGCAAAAAACTCGCATCAATTTAAGACAGAACTAAAATCGCACGTTATGCATGCTTAGTATTACTGTTCCTTTACATGGCTACACATTGTTTCAATGTCCACATTTAATGTATTATAGCTTTTTGTATTCTTTTTCAGTTATGCTGCTTGTATTATTCATTTTTTAATATTGTTTTCATTTATTATAATTATATTTTTTAATGTTCTACTGCAAATTTTAGTTTATACTTTCGATTATTGCTTATATTGCCTCTCACACTGTTTTACCATAAATTGCCCTTAATAGGAGGTCTCGATACAGTCTTCGACTGTATCGGGACCTTCTTTTGTATACTAAACACGTGTAATATTCTTGTATTCGTATCAACAAAGAAATCTGAAATCTGAATACTCCTCAGGACACGATCAACAGTCTTCTCTCTTGACAAAGTACTGCTACCAGCACTTGCAGTTTTAAGAATAAACTATTGTCCTATATTCTGAACTTTTGTATACACCTGCATGTGTGTGCATGAGCCATTGTGAAAAAAAGTTAAATATACATCAAGGACATGTAATCTAAACATTTATACTTAAAAGAACAGACAACAAATTTTTTTCGACTAATTTTTTTTTTTACGCCACAACAGAAAGCACACCCTTCTAATGTTGGTAGTTAATCTCGAACGCAATATAGTGATTTTACAAGCAGTATACTCATTTCCGACCTTTCAGCGTAGAGCTTTTCATCTGTCGAGATTAAAGGCTCTAAACACGGATGTACCTTTTCTCCAGCAATGCTGAGAACTGATAGCGCCCCTCTCACTTTCCCCACCTAAAATTAATTGAATATTACTTTTGTTCAAAATAAAATTCACTACAATACAAGTTCCAGGAGCAGCTTTGCAGTAGAATGCCAATTTCCCAAGAGGCAGCATACTTGCTTAAGAGTGCGGGGATGCAGTGTTGACATCACACGGCATAATTAGCATGTGGCAAAAGACAGGCTATAAGTTGAGTGTGGAAGAAAAAGGAGGAAGAGATGGAGGAGAACGTGCAGCTTCGTCAGCATGGTATGTACATGAACTGGTGGACTCTGCGAATGAAATGGCCTTGGCAAAATAAAGCGCATGCAGAGCAGCTGAACTGAACCCAGCCCGTGCACATGAATCCAAGAATCTCGCAAGATTTAAAAAAGACCAATGGCCCTTTATACATCTGTTTATGATGAGCTGAAAGTGCAAACAATCTTTCTTTTCAGTACGCTATGTTGGGCTAGTTGGTACATATTAGGCTGTATTTTTTTTTTGTGCTCTTTCTGTCTCGTTTTTTTTTCTTTTTGTCAATTTTGCGTCACGTATTTCAGCTTTCTTTTCAGTCTATCATATATCATCTATCAGTTCTGCACCTTATGTGGTATTGCACTTTCTCGAAGATCGGTAAGCCTCCGACAGATCGACCAATGTCAAATTGTGATAACATGCGATGTCACAGTCATGTCACGATGTCATGATGCAACATTATCATGGAGAAAGGTCACTTATACTCCATTTCAGAAGTTCTATTTAGCACTGTGGAAGCTACAGGCCCCACAGCCAATAAGAAGGGCGCTTAGCCCCTTCCCATATATTCATTTGTGCAGTGTCGTCTGCTCACCAAATTCATGGCATCTGCTCAATGTATTGTAGTAATTATGGTCAGTTTATTAACTTAAAAATGCAGTAAAGCTACTGAACAAGCAACTACACCGGGAACTTGAAGAAGCGTGAATTTGTTGCTCTGCTGAAGATGGACGGAATCTCATGCAGGCGGGTAACTTCACTTTGTGGCTGTTTCTCTCGGACCCTGTTCGTGGCTCGCGTATGTCTATTTCTTCGTCGACGCGTTCCTTTATGTCTTCCGCTGCAACGCTCCTGTTTTTTCTTTTTGTTTCTGCCGAAGGTGAATCCGACGCGCACGGAATGCTGTGCGAATTTCATGTCCGATATTTGGAGATGCATCGTTATTAGTCTGATGACGCAGTCCGAACACTGCCTTGGCACATTAGGCTTAGCAGGTGTCGCTAAGCAAACAGCATATCTCGCTAATATCGACTAGACGTACCTGATGCTTTACTCCAAGTGTGAGATGAAACAATGATGATGATTGATATGTGGGGGTTAACGTCCCAAAACCACCATATGATTACGAGAGACGCCGTAGTGGAGGGCTCCGGAAATTTCGACCACCTGGGGTTCTTTAACGTGCACCCAAATCTGAGCACACAGGCCTACGACATTTCGGCCTCCATCGGAAATGCAGCCGCCGCAGCTGAGATTTGAACCCGCGCCCTGCGGGTCTATTCTACATTGATTGTTGTCTTCTTACTTGAACCCAAATTCTCTACTTAGCTTGACAGTGAATTGTATCAGATTAGCGACAGTTAAAATAATATCTTAACAGTGTCAAGACGAGTGCGAGCTTTTTCTGACAGCTTTTTTTTTTATTTCTCGACAAAAAAATTCGGCACAAGAACATTTTTGTTGTTCCCAAAAATCGCAGGTACCAGGATCCCATTCTTGGTTTTTAACAACCATGTATACTGTAGAAAGTAAAAATAATGCCCTCCCTCGTAACAACTAGAACAAGAGTGCAATAAAATATTCCCATACTCGCCCACCCATAAATCAGCACCAGTATAGTGGGTGCTAAATTCTACAAATATTGGTACGAAAAAAAAAACACTGTTTATAAAATGACTGAGCCCTTCAAAGGCATGTGAACTGCACTGACTATCTAACTTTCTTCATGAATGTCCTTCTGAGAATCCACATAAAAATATCGCATTCTGGTAGGCAATACTTCTGAAGAGGTCCTATGCAGATGGGTTCTTCTTCATCAAGGCAATGTCAGAATCGACCATTTCTTTGACTAGCTCCTGCAACATTTTAAAGAAAATATGGTGATTGTGTGTAAGTATACTGATCTGTTTATTTACACAGGGCTAAGGAATTACAATGCAATGCAGTACGTTCATAAAATAGATGCAAGCTATAAGAAATAAACTATATACAGTAAAAGCTCGTTAATTCAATACCCGGTATTTCAGAAAACTAGACAATTCACATGTTTTCTGGTCCCGGTAAACAACACATTGTTTAGTGGCATGAAACTCTTGTTAACTTTGTCACATTTTTCTGCAACTTGGTTAATACAGATGATTCTCGGAGTGCGTCAAGTGCACTTTGAGCGCAAAAATGTGCAACGTAAAGAGAAAACGGCATTCACAGACAACCAAAATAAGGTGGTGATGTCTGCATTGCTATCGTCATCAACATGAACCGCATTGTAGCTAAGGCAATGACATTCTCTAGCTGATTTTGGGTTATGTTTTCAATTAGTTACAGCAGGGAGGTCTTGAGCTGTGGTGACAATGAGAACAAAGTCGCAAGTGCAAACACTGTGGCTCTTACGCTCTTAGGCCCAGCAAGTACAGGATTTAGGTATTTATAAAGAAAGGTGTATTGTTGTAACAGACATCTGTTTATTGTTTTCTTGACACATGACAATTTGAAGATCGGTTATTTCAAACAATTTTCCGGGTAACATAAAACTTAAATTAACGACCTTTTACTGTAATGGAGTACTTAAGAGGTTCTGGACCCATTTTTGAAGTAATGATGAATGGATCGCAGTATCAGAGTTAATTCTCTCTTAAATAAATAGCCACAAAAATATTAAAAGGCAAGTAAGTATGAATGAATAATTTTATCTGGGGTTTTATGTCCCAAAACCACCGTATGATTATTAGAGACGCCTAAGTGGAGGGCTCCAGAAATTTTGGCCATCTGGTGTTTCTCAGTGTGCACAGGCATGACGCAATACATGGGTCTCTACCATTTCGGCTCCATTGAAATGCGACTGCCGCTGCAGAGATTGAACACGCGATCTTTGGGTCAGCAGCTGAGCATGGTAGCCACTGTTATGCAGATGAGTACGAACAGAGTTACATAAATTTGTCGCACACTTGAAGGGTCTTCTTTTCACCTTTCAAACCAACAAGCGAGCTGGAAGCTATAAAAGGAAGACATAAAAAGAGCGAAAGAAGCTATGTCACGTGTGTTCTGTCGAAATAAAATACCGGGTGTGTCGATTTCGCGTCTCTAGCATGATAAGAGGGGCACGTTCAGTGTGAATAAAAATTTATTCTTTCTGGCACTTCACAAGCGTTCTGACGCTCCCCGTTTTTACTACATCAGCACGAAGCCTTCTCAGACACCTCCGTCTGGTTAGTTCGAACCATATGCATGCTTCAATGCATGCCCTGGAATGCATGCCCTGGCTGGATAGAATATCTGGCAATGAAGGATGGGATCAGCCGCAGCAGCATCTCGGCGCGACTGTCAGTGGGACACGGTGTACGACTCTGAACGCGGACTAGAACGAAAGCATGAACGAGGCCAAGCACAGAGTGGTCGCCAGAAAACATAAGCGGACTGCTTCTTTACAATGGATACACCCCATGTCTCTAGTCATTAAGAGAGCACCTCTGAGTTTGATCCAAGGATAGATAACATAAAATCGTACTTTGACAGGTTCGAAAACTTTGTCCATGTTACTGGCTGCGAGAAAGCTGAAGCTTTTCCTCAATGTGGTGGGCGCTCAAACATACGAGGAGTTAAAGAACATTTTGGTTACCGACAAACCCACAGACAAAACTTTCGACCAAGTGCCGATGTTGTTAGAACACCACTTCAGCCCATCATTCTCAGTCATAGCTGAACGCTGCAAGTTTAACAGGCGAATTCAGCAAGAAGGTGAAAGCATCAAAGTTTTTTTGATGAAACTCAAGCATTTGACCAGGTAGTGCGAGTTTAAAGATTTTATTAACCCTTTTCTGCTGAGTGTCAAATATTCGTGACATACCGAAAAACTTCGAGCAAGCAAGTCGCAAAATGCGCCGCCTTTAATGCGAGCTCTCAAGTACTCCCGGGGAATGTAGCTTTTAGCATGAAAAATCTAGCACCGTCTTGTTTGAGGTATTTTATGTTAGAACCAATTTTTTGTGGCTGATGGCAGAGAGTGCGAAGCACATGAAACAGCTCACTTCTTTGTTCTTTCTGGCGTGGAGACACAAGTTCTATCTTAAATAATTTTGTTTATTTGGTGCACAAACACCGAAGAGGTGGCAAAGGACATGTTTCGCAGTTTTGAAGTAAGTCTTTTGTTCGAAGGTCCTCACTTTTCTGGCATATAGGGAATTGACAACACACATAAAAGTATGCATTCAAGGTACATCTTGTACAATTTAACTGTGCAATCATTGAAAGTTTGCTATTTGAGGCTAGAAAATGAAAAAATTTTGTTCAGCAGTCTCAAAATTCAGGCATTAAAGGGTTAATGATGCTCTGAGAGATCGCCTGGTAGCAGGGTTATGCGATGCAAAGACGTAAGAGGGTTCTTTTTGCAACAGTATGGTCAACATTTAAACGCGCATGCAAAATCGCAATCGAGAATAAATCGGCTGACTGCCAAACCAAAGAAATACACGTAGAAGGGGCGAGACCTTTGAAAGGTAATGCAGTGCGTTGAAGTTTTAAAGAGAAAGACCATGCATCAAGTGACGAGAAAGATTGCTCAGCAAAGAGAAAAACAGTCTGTCGTCGTTGGGGAAAAAGCCATGTTATAGCTAGATGTTGGTACCAATACGCGAGGTGCCGAGCATGTGCAAGGACCAGGCATTTCCAAATAATGTGCCAAGCGAATAAAGGTATGGTAAACTACATTGGAGATTCAGACGAAGAGTCTGAGGAGTCTGATTTATCATGTCATATGCAAATCAGGAGGCAAACGGGGCTACAAGGTAATCATAAATATAGAAGGAACGCCCATACCAATGCTCTTGGACACTGGCGCAGCAGTTACTGTTACGCCCGAAAGCATTTTCAAGGGGATTCCCAGGCAGATCAAATTCAATCGTTCAACAGCTTCCCTCAGGACAATACAGGAGAACCATTAAGATTAAATGAAAAGGCAGATGTTGGGTAGAATATAACGGATGCAGCGAGACTATGCCATTCTATGTGGTAGAGGATCAGACAAAGGGCCTGCCACTGCTTCTTGGCCGCGATTAGATAAGAAATTGCAGCTTGACTGCAAAACCGCATACGTGATTAGAGAAGAGAGATTTCCTGAAGTATTCCATAGCGCACCAGGAGTAGCAAGGAACCTTGAAGCAAAAAACTTCCATAAAAGCGAACAGTAGGCCAGCGTACTGCCAGGCATGACCAGTTACATTTGCTCTCAAGGAAGAAGTCACTGCTGAATTGCAAAGGTTGGATGAAAATGGACTCTAAAAGAGAGTTATTCAGAGTGATTTGGTCACACGTATTGTCGTAGTTCCTAAGCAGGGAGGCAGGATAAGGTTCTGCGGAGACTGTAAGGTAACCATAAATCATGTGCTGAAAGCAGATTCCTACCAGCTTTCTCTACCATTTCGGCTACCATTTTGACTTGCAAGTGCACCGGCTATATTTCAAGCAATGATGGATACGGTGCTAGAAGGCATCCCTTAGATGGGCTGCTGCATATACGATGTCATTGTCACTGGAAGCAGCACAGATTATTGTTACAGCATAGTAGACAAAGATTTTCAGCAGCTTAGTCACATCAACTTCACCCTTTAAGCAGCAAAATGCAAATTTTTTCGCGAACCGGTCATTTATTTGGGACACAAGGTCTCAGCAGAGGGAATCTACTTGACATCGGCCAAGATCAAGGTAATTCAAGATGCTCCTAAACCGACGAACGTTACAGAATCAAGTATTTACCTGGAACTTCTGAATTTCCATGGGAAGTTTTTTTTCGGCGGACTTGGCCACGGTGGCTGTGTCTCTGTACAAGCTGTTGAAGGAACATTAGTGGTGCTGGACAAAAGAATGCAAGCAGGCATTTGAAGCTACGAAGACTGATCTGCGACAGTGAAATCCTTGCATGTTACGACGTCAGGAAGCCATTGAGGCTCGGCTATGACTCTTCAGCCTAGGTCTCGCAGCAGTGATTTTTCCCGAAATGCGCGATGGCAGAGAGAGACCAACAGCATTTGCCTACCGTGCCTTGACAAGAATTAATTGATATGTGGGGTTTAACGTCCCAAAACCACCATATAATTATGAGAGACGCCATAGTGGAGGGCTCCGGAAATTTCTACCACCTGGGGTTCTTTAACGTGCACCCAAATCTGAGCACACAGGCCTACAACATTTCTACCTCCATTGGAAATGCAGCCGCCGCTGCCAGGACCTTAGCCACAAGACCATCGCGGCGGGGCGTACCTTGACAAGGTGTGAACACGATTATGTACAAAGGGAAAAGGAAGCTCTTACAGTCATTTTCCGCTTGCAACATTTTCATTGCTACGTATCAGAATGACGGGCACTTCAACCTTCTACACGGATCATCAGCCTCTTTTAGCATTGCTCAGACATAATAAACCAATATCATCACTTGTAGCAGCAAGAATTCAATGCTGGGTGATGACGCTCATCGCATACCAATACAATCTTAATGCAGAAGCGGAAATTAACATGCAAGTAGCTGATGCCTTATCAAGATTGCCATTGTCAGTGGAAACGCGTGATGACGTACCTGAGTGCTTGGCTGTTTTCGATGCCTCACCACTGACTGTGGCACAGGTTGCAAAAGAAGCCAAGAGAGAGGGACCTTGTTTTAAGTGCGGTTGTCAAATATATGCTCACAGGATAACCAACCAAGTACCTGAGTGAAATGCAATCATTTTGGCGACACAGAGATGAACTGTCGATTGAACAGGACTTCCCTATGTGGGATAAACGAGTCATTGTGCCCAAGTACTTGCGACCTGATGATCTGTCTCTACTGCATGAGGAACACCTGAATATGACACGGATGAAGATGCTA